AGCGCAGGTGCGGTCAGTGGCACCCGCCTCGCCGTGGGGCAGGGCTAAGTCGGGGAGCCGCCGCCGCCGCAGCCCCTGCCTGTGTGGCCGGGCAGGTGCCGGGCGCTGCGGGTCCAGGCTGGGCAGCGGCTGAGGAGCCGGGTCTGGTTGACCTGGGCCCGCCCCGCGGCCTCCCCCCCTGCTCTGGCCAAGCTGCCCATCACCCGTCCCCGGCCAGTGCAGTGCTGTTTTCCTGTCGATTCTTCTCTTTCCTCCAGCCAGAGCTTCCGTGGGGGTGCCTGCCAGGCCGGCCGGCAAATCCTTCCACACCCCTTGGTACAAACCTGTGGCCCTTGCTCCCTTCCCTGTTGTCTTTTAATTTCTCCTGAATTTGGTTGTTCTATCTCCAGCGGCTGCCCCTTTTCACGGGGGGCTTTTAGTGTTTCCCTGTGATACAGCCTAGCCTGTGTGTGGTGGATGCCATGGTGCTCTAAGCTACGGATGCTTCAAGGTCTGACTTTGTAGGAGTCAGTGCTTTCCTGTTTTGCCTTGTCCCGTGTGGAGTTCGAGACCAAAAATGAGGAGGGTTCAGGACACGGGTCCAAGTGATGTTGACGTCTTTATTTTTGTCATCATCACATCCCAAATAGTCTGGATCTTTATTCCATTTGCACAGTCTGGCCGTTTCAGGAACAGTTGGGTTTGTTCTGGTGGATCCATCTCTTCACTTCGTCCACTTGGCAGAACATATTGACCCCAAGTCTTCTAGACATTTTCTGATGTTACATTTAAGCATGATCAAAACAAAATGCACTGAAGTGAACGAATGAGGAACTCTTTCTGTATGACAGAAGGCAGAGCAGGTGGCATCCTACAGACTAGCTCTTTCAGAAATGCACAAGCTCATGTGTTTCTGAACAAGGTAGTTTTCTAAGGTGCCCCGTGCCCTGCCCTCTACCTTACTGCAGCCTAACACAGCTAAGTGTACCGCTCCTTTCTGTTTTAATGAGAGTCAGAGTAAGTTAAGCAGATGCTCTTTTTAACTACCAATGGACATCGATTTAAACAGTGAATAAATGTTTGAATTAAAAATGTTCATGGACTTTTAATGAGAAATAAAGGTATGCCTTCCAGAGACTGATGAAAGTGTATGTAGTAGGGGTGTGCTGATAAAGATTTTCATGGCCGATACTGATAGCCCACTATTAATCAGCTGTATCAGCTGATACTGATCCAACAACAGATATTAACTGCTGGTTGAGTCACGCTGAGCTAGGCTGGGCAGCTCAGTTCTGCCTGTCCCTCCCAACCCCAGTCACATTTGTGGCATTCAGTGCCTTTTACAGTGCCCACCCCAGTCCACAGCAATGCCTGGGACACGGCAGTGGCTGCTCTGCTCCGCTCCAGCGTAGCCTGGCCTGCTGGTGAGGGGTTGGAAGTGTATCTGGGGTCACCCCAGCTTGCAGGAGGGAGCCCAGGTGTCTGAAGGCCCTGGCCCCACCGGTGGGAGGGAACCCAGGCATTCAGAGGCCTTGGCCTAAAGGCATAATTATTGGAGAACATTATTGGCTACAATGGCTAAAAAAGCCAGTAGCCAATAATGTAAATTTCCCTTTTATCGATGCTGGTCCAATAGGCAACAGATATGTTGGTGCATTTCTAGTATGCAATGGTTTTAAAAATGAATTGGGTCCCTGGCTTAAATGATTTATACTTAAAGCAAGTCATGATAAAGGGGTGGGAAGGTGGGTTAAAATAGTGAATGGTAAGCACAGCTTAGAACATCTGCATTTTTGCAAATTCTTCCTCCTTCTCCGTGTAGTGTAAGAATTTGGAAATACAGTAATGAACAGAGGATTAGAAGATATTGCTAGAATGCAAAACTGAAAGCATTGAGCTTTTATGAAGATTTTTTTTGGAACTAAAATAGGAAATCTATGTATGGGTTCAGCAATGAAGCATTTGGAAGGGGACTAACAGCACTAGGGTTTGAAGGTTTCTGTCAATCAAATGTACTGCCTGTGTAGGTCTTTACATTCTTCTTATTCTTCTTATTCTTCAGCTGAAGCCTGTCACCTTCCCACACCTTGTATTTCAGCAGTGTTTTCCCCCTAGCACCTTTCCCTTCATAGTTTTGTGTGTCCTGTGCTCTATTCTTCCACATGCAATGGGTTGTGTGCATGCCCCTCTCTCACATTCTTGTTAGAGAGATAAAAGTTCAAAGGCATCAAAATCTTGAACTTTGAGACAAAGGACAGCATAATTGGGTGTTATGCTGGATGAAGTTAATGGGTACCATCAGCCAGGTCCACAGATAATTGCAGAGGTGGCTGTACGAAGTAGATGGCAGGCTCTATGCATTTGCTGAACTTAGTAGGGTTGTGATCCTTGCTTTCAAGAACATGGCTTAAAATTTTGGAATTGATCATGTGTGATGTTCAAGAATTATTATAGTACAGGCAGGCAGGACTACCGAAGTCAGCACAAAACCTCCTAAGCCCTGCCAGTTAGATTAATTTAAATATAACCTAATATTTTATAAATTATTATAAATTGCTTCTTGTGAAGCCAGAGTTTCCAGAACTAATCAGTAGTTTGAACTGACCTCTTTTTATTTCTAGTATGCTAGTGTCAAAATCCCAATCAGAAATTAAGGTGCTGATGTGAAAACATGCTATATAAACTTCAGAAATCAAGGTTTTGCCCTGAATTTACCATCTAAAATGATGGAGAAAGCATAAGAAATAGTGGAAGGAAAGAGGCAGGGGTGGGGGGGTAGAGAGTGAAGGGAACACTTAAAAAACACAAGTGGTTACAAGACTAGGTAGATGCACATTTTGAAGGTTATCTTTCTTTAAAATAGAAAAATAAAGAATGCAGGCTTCATCAGTGCACAGGTCATCTACCTAGTCTCCAATTCCTGTTGGACAATTAATATAGGTGGTTCTTTGTCTATGTTTTGATGACCTTATGTTCATAGATTCATAGATGCTAGGGTCAGAAGGGACCTCAGCAGATCATCGAGTCAGAACTCCTGCCCTGGGCAGGAAAGAGTGCTGGGATCAGATGGCCCCAGCCAGATGCGTATCCAGTCTTCTCTTAAAAACCCCCAAGGTAGGGGAGAGCACCACCTTCCTTGGAAGCCTATTCCAAATTCTGGCCACCCTT